ATCCTTTGGCGAAGTTTTATTCATATTCTCAATTATTTTTACCTGCATTTCAGCTGATATTGGTCTTGCTGAGTGGGGTCGCCAAGAAATCGAACTCGCTGAGAATGAAATGCCTGGATTAATGAAGCTGCGTGCAAAGTATGGCGCTGTCCAACCTCTAAAAGGCGCTCGTATCAGCGGTTGTCTTCACATGACCATCCAAACTGCGGTTCTCATCGAGACGCTGACAGCTTTGGGTGCTAAAGTTCGTTGGGCGTCGAGCAACATTTTCAGCACTCAGGATCATGCAGCCGCCGCCATTGCCAAAGCCGGAGTTCCTGTGTTTGCTTGGAAAGGCGAAACTGAGGAAGAATATGCTTGGTGTATGGAACAAACTTTGAACTTTGAGGACGGCCCGGTGAACATGATTCTTGACGATGGCGGTGATCTCACTGGTCTTGTTCACGAAAAATATCCCCAACTCTTAAGTGGTATCAAGGGTATCACCGAACAAACAACTACTGGAGTTCATGCGCTCTATAAGCGTCTGAAGGAGGGCAAATTGAAATGTGTTGCTATGAACGTTAATGACTCGGTCACAAAGAGCAAGTTTGACAATCTCTATGGCTGTCGAGAATCCTTGGTTGATGGTATTAAACGAGCTACTGATGTCATGTTAGCCGGTAAAACGGCTTTTGTTGCTGGCTATGGTGATGTGGGCAAAGGTTGTTGCCAGTCTCTTCGTTCCTATGGATGCCGTGTGTTAGTTAGTGAAATTGATCCGATCAACGCTCTACAGGTGGGTGCTTCTTGTTTTATTAACGTTTTTTGCTTTCTATTAAGGCTGCTATGGAAGGTTATGAGGTAACGACTGCTGATAAAGCTGCCAAAGAGGCTCATATCTTCGTCACTGCCACGGGTTGTTGCGATGTCATTGTGGGGCGCCATTTTGAACAAATGCGAGAAGATGCCATAGTTTGCAATATCGGACACTTTGATATCGAAGTTGACGTTGTTTGGTTGAATGAGAATTGTGTGGAAAAGGTAGAAGTGAAACCACAAGTAGATCGCTACCTCCTGAAAAATGGTCGGCATATTATTCTCCTGGCCGAGGGTCGTTTGGTCAATCTGGGTTGTGCGCATGGACACTCGAGTTTTGTCATGTCGAACTCGTTTGTTAATCAAGTTCTTGCACAAATTGAGCTCTACACGAAACCTGAAAACTACCACATCGGTGTCTTTATGCTACCCAAAAAGGTAAGGTCATTTTTCATCCTCTCACTCCTTGTTTCCCTTGCGAATGCAGTTAGATGAGGAGGTGGCCGCAGCTCACTTGGACCAACTTGGAGCCGAATTGACGGAGCTTACCAAGAAGCAGGCCGAGTACATAGGCGTCCCGATTGATGGACCTTACAAGAGCGATCACTATCGTTACTAAGCCATTATGAAGCGCCAGAACTTACTAATGACAATCAAGTTTAATTAAAAATTTATCGCCCCTCATGCCTTCTTTTGCAACTTCGGATTGAAGTGAGGAGATTAGAAAAGACCTTTATTTCCATAAGTTGTATCTTTCCGGGATGCGGAGCGAGGGGATAGGGGTGATGTGGTGTGGGTTCAGTCTCCTAATTTTGTGTGTATGGATGTTCTCATCAGAAGGCGCAATAATAATAATAAAAAGTGGACACGGGAGAAGC